CATTGAATCTTGGACACCCTGTACATCCATGGTCAGAAAGAAAAATTGAATGTCAGAAATGTGAAATTTTGCATGCTTTCAGCTTTTTTCAAATGAGATGCCCTATATTTGGTTCTATATTCTTGAAGAGCACAATGTTCCGATTCCACAAATATATAAACTGCTGGACAAATGAAACGGAACAAGCAAATGTTTAAGTTAACTGTAAATTCCAATATTACGTGAACTAAAAAACATCAATATTATCTTTCAAATTACGCAAACCGCTCATTGATTTCTTTTTTAGTTCGCGTAATACTGGATTCAACAGTTAAAGTGGAAATTCCCTTGTTCCGCTTCATTTGTCCAGTAGTTTAGGTTGTCTATATTTGGTTGAGCAGTCTCTTATACCGGGTGACAACGAAATCGTTATACAAGGCGTCATTCAGTTGTCTTTAAAGATAAAAATTTGAAAATTGGGTGGAATGGGTAAGTCATTGAGACGCACACTTTTCGTAAAAAAAACAATTGAATATCACTTCCGGTTACTCCGGAAATGTAACTAAGTCGAGAAATTTTCATGGAACCCTATATATTTTCTTACACTGTTGGATAGAGCTTGAAATTCCCTTTTCAATGACATATCACAAGTTCCATTTGTTTTCAAGATGGCGGCGTAAAAAGGTACCGTCATTTGGGGTGAAGTCGGACTGTGGGGGTGAACTCGGACAGACAGGTATTGGCCGGCGTTTTTTACGATATCGGGTATCGAGACACCCAAAAAATCCACCGACCAACATATTCCGCTTAGTTTAGCTCGAGTGTCGTTGAGAGTGGTGCATTTTTTTTGGAAAAATTCGCCGTAGAGCACGTGGTCAGAATTTTCTAAATTTTATTGTTTTCTTAGAATTTGAAAACCAAAAAAGAAACTGTTGGGCACTAGGGAATATTGAAACTATGTACTTCAAATGAGCTATTATTTGTTATGTGCTTTATCATTAGTAAACCCATGGCAATTTGGTGAAAAAAAAAAATTTTTTTGTTAAATATTGGTGTTTTAGTAAAAAAAGTCATTTTATAGGGGGGAAGGCGGACACTATGGTTAGGTGCTATAAGAAGAAAATCGGCAATAATTTCAAAAATTACAAAGAAGAAAAGGTCGCTAGAGCACTCGAAGATATTAGACGAGGCAGAAAAAGTATAGGCAAGCTGCTGAGTATCATGGGGTTCCCAAATCCACCTTACATGACAAAAAAAGGGAATAAAAAGGAAGAATCATGTCGTTTGCATGTTTGCATTTTTTTTTTACCTAAAATTTATAATATTTTGCAATAAATATTATTTTTTTTTATTTGTTCTGTCCGACTGCACCCCGTACTAGGGGCTTAGACACTTTGTTATGCTTAATTAATGGTCGTCCGCCTTTACCCCACACATAGGGGTGATGGAGGATACACAACTTACCTAAAAAAAAAAGGGGGGGATACAAATGTCATTACTTTTAGTAAGTAATTTGATAAAGGAGACATGGAAGATTCTTAATTATTTTTTTTCTTTTAATTGTAGATTTTATTAACAAAAAACTGCAAAAATCGTCCAACTTCACCCCAAATGACGGTACTTTCTTAAATTTAATATGGTGGCATTCTGACGTAACCGACAAATAAATATGCATTTTAGTAGACATTTTTCGGTAGGCCATTGGACATACTTTAATTCTAGGATTTAATGAATAACTCTTCCTATTCAAAATTTTTAAAAAATTTGAATCAAAAATTTGCATTTCAAAGAAATTTTAAAATGCCCCTGTTTTTGAGCAAATCCATTTTTTTTCCAAATTCGATCTAAAACCTTTCCAAATCCAAAAACTATGAATTGTTTAAACTGTTTGTTTAACAGAAACATTATCGGTTACGTCAGAATGCTGCCATATTGAATTTAAGAAAAATACCTTTTTACGTTGCCATCTTCGAAACAAATGCAACTTGTGGTATGTCATTGAGAAGGGAATTTCAAGCTCTATCCAACTGTGTTCCATTTCCGGAGTAACCGGAAGTGATATTCAATTGTTTTTTTACGAAAAATGTGCGTCTCAATGACTTACCCGTTCTCCCCAATTTTCATTTTTTTAACTTTAAAGACAACTGAATGAGGCCTTGTATAACGATTTTGTTGTCACCCGGTATATTCGGCTTCACAAATTGTAAAAATACACACCTACTGACTGATTTTGTGAACCATTCTATCTGTACAGGTGAATGCTGCCAGGTAGAATTTGAGGTACCTACTTGGTTTCTCTGATAGTATTTTTGAAATTTTTAGAACCCAAATATGTTGGAGAGGGCTCAACCAAATATAGACAAACCATATATTTTTGGGATCGGGAAATTGTGCTCTTCAAGAATTAGAACCAAATATAAGGCACCCCATTTGAAGAAAGCTGAAAGCATGCAACATTTCACATTTCTGACGTTCAATTTTTGTTTCTGACCATGGATTCTAAAAATTCAGCCAAAACTGTACAACTTTTGTATTTACACTTTTCTTCTACCTGTAAAGGTAAAGGCTGTAAGGTGGGGTGTCAATATATGAAAAAACACCCTGTACAGTCACTCATCCGCTCTAGAAATGAGCTAAATGGGAAAAATGTTTACTTAAACCTCGATCAAACTATAAAACAACAACAAGCTAGAAAAAAAAATTAGGACAGAGTTAAGAGATCGCAAGTCAAAAGGTGAAGAATGAAGATTCACTTAAAATGAGATATATCGAGGTTATTCCTCAGATAATTGCGAATGCGGAGGTTCCTGGGGTAACTAAATTGTGACGGACTAAGACCAAAAAGCCTTATCAACTTAACTACTTATTACGAGAACGTACAGGGCCTTCGTACTAAATTATCCTCGCTGATATGCAATGTGTCAATAGACAGTTACGAAAATGTTATGTTGACTGAAACCAATCTTTCTGACGACATAACAAATGCCGAACTAGGCATCGACAATTACAACATCTTTAGAAAAGACAGATCCATCGTGAAAAGTACTAAGAAGTCGATGGGGAGTGCATTGATAGTCAATTATCCGCAGATTATCCAAATATTCTTCAACGACCCCTTCCAAAATTTCATGTTCATACCTGGGAAACAACAAATGAACCAAAGAAATTCACTAATACGTTATAAAAAAATTTCAACTGAATTTGAAATTGAGTTAATTGTGAAAGAAGCAAGTTTCAACATAAACTTTGAATTGAATATAAACACATCAAACCCTATTTTTAAATGGACTGGTTACCTGTTTTGGTTCGGGTTTCCATCAAAGATACAAGGACCAATCACTCTTCCCCTAAATAAAATACTCCAAACATTAAAACCAAATCTACCTTGATTCATGATTTCTACCGTGATATGGGGATTTTCCTCCAAGTCCAAGAATATAGCTATTATATCTATCTATTGAATATTCCAATACTGGTCCCGTGCGCTTTATCTGTCCACATTACGTTCAGTGGGAAATCATTATAAAATGGTTAATTCTCAGCGCTGGGAAATTCGCGCTAAATATAAGTTATTACCAGATTCTTCCACATTTTCGTTTGATTCAATAAAGCACTTCAACATGTTATATTTTTCGCTACTCAAACATTTTAACTTTACAACTTGGGATGATTATTTGAATATAAATTGGCCAATTACGTAAATAAATGTTTAATAAAAATAAGTCAACACGTGTTTTTTCCTTTTCTCCTTAGTCAAAATCTGAGATACAACGCTATGAAATGTCCCTATGACGTCACTTATCATATAACTTTATGACGTAGCACTTGATAAGTAGGTATATATATCTATAAAAACTAAATATTTGTATAACTTCCAGAATAATCGTACTAGGACAAAAAAAAACATTGATTTTTTTGTCTTGATTTCCTACAGTCTGCAATAAATAATAATAAATTTAATTATTCATGCAAGTAGGTATTGCTTAAAAAATACCTACTGAATTTTTTTTTTCAGGCACGGTTTATTCATCTTCAGATAAACTTACTAGTAATTATCTGCAAGATAAATTTACCATTCTATAATTCTATTGGTCGGCGAATAACTGGCCGACCATGGGATTACAGATTGCGTTTTCATCCGTCAGATTGCATAGGTACCTGACAGTTTACCAGAAGGTGAATAAACTGGTCCTAAACAAATAAAACTAGCTCTCAAATAAATTTTACCTCTTTAGAACTATTGAGAATAGATACAATAGATACAATAATTATTTCTTCTATTCTTTTTTCCGTTGTATGTTGTACCAATTATATTGTGAGTAGGTAGGTACCTGTATCTACCTCAAAATTGAACTTTCCGACCCCTTATGATCAGTTTCACATTTTCAGAATAGGGTTCGACCAAAATTCTGTCCGGTTATTTTCAATATGAAAGCAACTAGATAAATCTGCATTGTGGTTCATACGACACGAAACCTATGGTCGAAACCAGTTGGGATATGATAGTCCACTATCAAACCTAGGTTATATTCCTTTAGGCAAATTCAATTCGTAATGTAATGTATCATTGCATAAAATCACAGTTAAAGCCGTTTAAAATAACGCAAATTCTGGTACAAAACGCTTTAACGGAATCCTTAAAAGCTGGTTTAGCCAGAGGTCGCTCTGGGGCATCAACCAACAATAAATAATTTAACGTTTATAATTATTAATAATTTTACAGTTTTTACCGGGCCAACATGCAATAAAATAAACAATTTTAAAGGAATTTCGTACTACTTTAAACTTTCTGGTTATGGTTAACTCGGGACTCGCAAACTGGGCATTAATAATGTATTTACTCGGAGTTAAGTACCCACTGACAATGTTTATCGAGCAGAACAACATTGAATTAGCAACGCACTTTATTCAATGGCATTTTATTCTTTCTTGTCGGCAAGTTTTTGCCTTTAGGAAGCACCGTTGCTTTGGCGTGCATGGTAAGAACCGTAGTGTCTTAGAAACGATTCAAAAGTTTCAAAGAATTTAATTTATATTAAATAATTGAACATAAAACCTAAACATTAATACGACCGAATTTTTGGTGGTACATGTGGACATTCCTTTTCATCTAAGGTGCAATCATTGACGCCTCTATAGGTTAGACAGACCTAAAAAAAAAATAGTTTTTTACATGAGCCTATATAAATGATTTCATCGACTAACTTCTCCACTATCTATGTCCATCCAGCTCAAGGTATGCTTCCTCCAATGTTCTTCAAAAGGCTTCTTTTTCTGATTCTTCAAAGGTTTTGCATAATCAAATTCATCAAGTCTTATTTTAAAATCATCCCTGGCATGTGCACCACGCGACTCTTTCCTGGCTTCCATCGAAATAATCGTTTGCATTGCATTCACAAACTTATTCTTCAATTCCAAATATTCACATAAATTCGTGTTCCAGATCAATCCGTTGTCGTGTATGCGAACATTGTCGATTTCTTTGTACAATTCGGTTACTTTGCACACGCCTTCTTCGAGGGTCTTTTGGGTTCTGAACACAGCCGCGTGGAGTTGCATAGCTTTTTGAAGCTTCAGTCTCAAATCGCCCACACTGTATTTGCCTTTGCTGTACCGCATTTTGTCAAACATTTGCAGAGTTTCTAAACCTAAAGAGTCATCGGTACGGACCTTTGCACCAGGACACTCCTGCTCTTGAATGGTGTCTGCGACTGCTTTACCGAAAACGACAGTTTCGAGAAGAGAATTTGCTCCCAACCTATAGAAGGAAATGGTGAATATAAATAATAGAAAACCAATTTGAGACAAAAGAAAAATAGATCCAGGCGTTCTTTTTTGGATTAGATATGATCGGATTCAAGGTTTATTGAAATTTCAACTGTACTATTTTTCAACAGCTTCCCTAGCAAATAGCAAAATTCGTTTGAAAGATCATACGATGAAAGTTTGCACCTGATCAAAAACCTTAGTCCAATGCTATAATTCTGGATTCGACATGTTTTTCGAGAGTCGATCTTTCTAGTCGACCTAAATTATCAGAACAACCCTGTTCCTGCATAAAGTTTTGGTTTGCGACTTTGTTGAATTATGAGAAACGATTCTATTCTGATAAATTAATAAGTTTCCCTGTCACAATAAGAAAGCATCAAATTAAAGACCTACAACACTGATTACCAGGTTCTTTTGTTAGAACGAACGATATTTTTAAAATTAGGCCAAATTTCATTAAGAACCACCATTTCGTGGCTTTAGGAAAGGACCCAAATTATATCGAGATTATCTTTGGCTAGTCCCTAAAACCAAGTGCTGATTATTCTTTATTATTTATTATACCTATTTGCTCCATGGACACCACAAGAAGCAACTTCTCCACAAGCAAACAATCCCTTAACAATGTGGTCTTTTCCTGGAGCAACTTGCGTGATCACTTGTCCTTTATAATCAGTAGGAATCCCGCCCATCGTGTAATGAACAGTTGGGATACACGGAATCGGTTCTCGGAAGACGTCTACGGCCGAAAACGTCATAGCAGTCTGTCTTATTCCTGGGAGCTGTTTCAGGATGAGGTCCCTGGGTAGATGGTGCAACTGTAGGTTGACGTAGTCCTTGTTGGGACCGCAACCTCGACCTTCCATGATTTCAACGGTCATGGCACGCGAGACTACGTCCCTGGAAGCCAAGTCTTTGGCTGTGGGTGCGTGTTTTTCCATAAACCTTTCGCCGGCGGAGTTGACTAAGTAGCCACCTTCGCCTCTGGCACCTTCTGTTATTAGTACACCTACTCCATAGATTCCTGAAAATTAAAATATTTATACCAACCTTTTGAAGCATCGATCAAGAAAGTTTCTACTTAAAGCTGGCATTGCAATACTTTTTTTTATAAATATTTTTGTAGATTTTGAGCCAGGATTCCTGAATTCTATGTGGTTTTTGGACTTTCTATACTTGACTCTTTCTAATATTCGATGTTGTTCAATTTCGAATCTCTTCGTTTCTTAAACAATTTCAGTTTCAGAAATAATATATCATCCACCTACTCTGTAAATAAACAGGGCAGATAGAACATATGGCTACCGTAGAAGATTTATGAAAATACTTTTATGGTAAAAAGTCCATCTATTAGCATTTCGATTGACCTCTAATCAAGAAACAAAATCTCAGAAAATATTCTATGACAACGGGAAAAGTTAGAAAGGCCATAATTAACCAGTGGCGGATCTATAGCACCATTCTAGGAACGGTACCACGCCCAAAACGCATTTTAAGCCTCCAAAAAATAATTTGTGTGTTTTTTCGACGAAATTTTCTTAGGACTTCTGGGGGGGAGGGTAATAGCCCCCTTCACCCCCCCGTGCATCCGCCACTGGGAAAAGACGTAGTTTACAATAATAAAAATGCCGTACGATTACGTCATAAATACGTCAGCCATGTCGTATTTGAAATATGGTACAATCAATGAACTATAACCAAAAACTGGAATGCTAACACATAAAACGAACGTGAAGCCTAGTGCGGCTGCTGCGGAGGGGATACCTGTTTTTGTCGCACTCATTATGTTAAATGGCGAAAATTGCTTCCAACACGTATTCCAATTGATGAAACCTGTGAAGGGAAATATGACAAAACTTTCGAAAACGTCATATGTCAGCGAGCAACAGAAAAAAAACAACATTCCCCGTTGTGGCATCTGTCTTTCATGGCTTCATTTTTTTGGCAGATATGGCACTGTGTGCGCATTCCAGTTTTTAGCTCTAGTTCATTGGGTACAATTGATGTTCGCATAAAATATGTCAGTTTGATCATGATATGACGTGCATGTAACAGTAAGGTCATAATTCACGTCATATTTTGGTGAGATGACATCGCGAACCAAAATTGGATCTTGAATAACGTCATTTGGAGAGAATTCAAGAGCCTGGAATAGAGACAATCCTATTGTATTTCTGCTTATCAACCAAGTTCTTCTCAATTATCAATTTTCATTAATTTTCTCGCTCATTCAGATATTCCTTTTCAATTTTTGTCTTTTTCCGGCTCTTAAATTTCTTTAAATTGAGAGAATTCAAGAGCCTGAAATAAACAAAAATCGATTTCATCTCTCTCCCACTGTGTATAGTTTTTTACCGGGTAATAGTTCTATCTCTCTCACACTTGACGCTAATTTCTCTGTAACAGGAATTGACAAATAAACATGGAATTGAACTTCTTTTATCAATCAATTTGTTTATGACTGAGTTGAATTCAAGAGCCGGGAATAGACAAAAATCAATTTCATCTCCCTTCCTCTGTATAGTTTTTTTCACCTAGTAATGGATCTATCTCTCTCACACTTGACACTAATTTCTCAGTAACAGAAATTGATAGATAAACATTGAATTGAACTTCGTTTGTTAATCAATTTGTTTATGACTGAGTTGAATTCAAGAGCCGAGAATCGACATAAATCGATTTCATCTCTCTCACCCTGTATATTTTTTTGTCTGGAAATGGTCCTATCTCTCTCACACTTGACACTAATTTCCCTGTAACAGGAGTTGACAGATAAACATTGAATTGAACGTCGTTTGTCAATCAATTTGTTTATGACTGATAGCGTTTTCCATTTGTCGAATCAGGGCAAAAAAATGTATCCCTATCATTACATGTTACATGCTTTTAGAAAAAGATGCGGATACACTCAGTGCGGCACTCTGATGACAAATGGAAATCGCCATGAGTTGAATTCAAGAGCCAGGAATGGACAAAAATCGTTTCATCTCTCTCGCTCTGTATAGTTTTTACCTTGTAATGGTTCTATCTCTCTCACACTCGATATTAATTTCTGTGTAACAGGGCGTTGACAGATAAACTCTGAAAACGTCGTTTGTCAATCAATTTGTTCATGACTAAGTTGAATTCAAGAGCCGAGAATAGACAAAAATCGATTTCATCTCTCTCACCCTGTATATTTTTTTGCCTGGTAATGGTTCTATCTCTCTCATACTTGACACTAATTTCCCTGTAACAGGAGTTGACAGATAAACATTGAATTGAACGTCGTTTGTCAATCAATTTGTTTATGACTGAGTTGAATTCAAGAGCCAGGAATAGACAAAAATCGATTTCATCCCTCTTCACTGTGTATTTGTTTGCCTGGTAATGGTTCTATCTCTCTCACACTTGACACTAATTTCTGTGTAACAGGGCATTGACAGATAAACTCTGAAAACGTCGTTGTCAATCAATTTGTTTATGACTGAGTCGAATTCAAGAGCCAGGAATAGACAAAAATCATTTCATCTCTCTTACTCTGTATAGTTTTTTACCTTGTAATGGTTCTATCTCTCTCACACTCGACACTAATTTCTGTGTAATAGGGCGTTGACAGATAAACTCTGAAAACGTCGTTGTCAATCAATTTGTTTATGACTGAGTTGAATTCAAGAGCCGAGAATAGATAAAAATCGATTTCATCTCTCTCACCCTGTATATTTTTTTGTCTGGTAATGGTTCTATCTCTGTCACACTTGACACTAATTTCCCTGTAACAGGAGTTGAAAGATAAACATTAAATTGAACGTCGTTTGTCAATCAATTTGTTTATGACTGAGTCAAATTTAAGAGCCAGGAATAGACAAAAATCATTTCATCTTTCTTACTCTGTATAGTTTTTTACCTGGTAATGGTTCTATCTCTCTCACACTCGACACTAATTTCTGTGTAACAGGGCGTTGACAGATAAACTCTGAAAACGTCGTTGTCAATCAATTTGTTCATGACTGAGTTGAATTCAAGAGCCGAGAATAAACAAAAATCGATTTCTTCTTTCTCACCCTGTATATTTTTTTGCCTGGTAATGGTTCTATCTCTCTCATACTTGACATTAATTTCTCTGTAAAAGGAGTTGACAGATAAACATTGAATTGAACGTCGTCTTAGGGTTGACTTTCCCGTCTTCCAAAAACATTTTTCTGACCTAACAATTCTTGTAAATTTTAAATCTTGTATATCTTCCACAGCTAGAGGTGGATTTTCAGGGCCCGCTCTGATTTTTTCGGCCATTCGGGGAAAAAATAAGAATTACCGCTCAAGAAATTGATTTGTAGGTGAATGGAAAAAGGGTTATTCAGTGGCGGCACGTGACTTTTATTTTAAGAGAGGCAGCCTAAAAAAAAAAATATTCTCGCAGGTAAATTTTCCTGGGGGAGGGGGATGGTGAAGCCCGCCGCAGGCACCGCCGGAGGAAGAAAAAAAATTCAAGTGCCACGCGCAAAAACGTTTATTTTGAGACTTCAAAAAAACAAGATCTGAGAATAAGAAGTTTTTTTAGCTAGGAATTTTCGCGTATTCAGTGTAGGTACCTAAAACGGGCCGTGCCGTAGACCGATCTTAATAAAGCTTTTTATAAATTTATAATAGAGATTTTATTGTTCGCAAAGAAAATGGTAAATGCCTACTATGCAAAAATGCAAAAAATTATAAATTATAGTACTGACTCTTAACGGCGGCGACCTTAGGATAAGTCCATTCTTAAATTCTGTTATATATATATCGGAGACATATTTTTTCTTGAAGATCTTTGAGGACATTATCCATGACCCTTTGAAAGGTTGCCGGTGCATTTTTTAGACCAAATGGCATTCTGATATACTCGAAATATCCATTTTCGACGTTGAAGGCTGTTTTTGGAATAGAATTTGGATTCATTTCGATTTGATGAAACCCTGAAGCCAAATCGAGGGTTGTGAAATATCGACTTCTGCCAAGCTTGTCTAGTATGTCGGAGATGTTGGGAATTGTGTGCTATTCCATGATGAGAAATGAAGATTAGGAGGGCATTAAGTCGGCTCCGTCAAGTTAGCCCCCCCACATTCGAATTTTCTGAAAAAATTGCAACCACTTACTGTGCTCGAAGTGTGCTTTACTGTGCCGATGATATTTTGAACTGTGCCGTTTCGATAACAAAGTTATAAGAAAAAATAGATGAGGGGCTAAGTTGACGCTCAGCCCCCCCAAAATTTTGGAAATCAGATGAACTCAAAAAGGATTCTTATCCAATTTGAAGTGTGCTGAACTGTGCTGTATCAGGTTTTTCTCAAAATTTCCACATTCGGTCATTTTCCGACCAAATTCTACTGGGGGGCTAACTTGACGCTCAGCCCCCCCAAAATTTTGGAAATCAGATTAAACAAAATTGAATTCTTATCCATTCTGCATTCTGAAGTGTGCTGAACTGTGCTGCATCAGGTTTTTCTCAAAATTTCCATATTCGGTCATTTTCCGACAAAATCCTACTGGGGGGCTAACTTGACGCTCAGCCCCCTCAAAATTTTGGAAATCAGATTAAACAAAATTGAATTCTTATCCATTCTGAAGTGTGCTGAACTGTGCTGTATCAGGCTTTTCTCAAAATTTCCATATTTGGTCATTTTCTGACAAAATCCTACAGTGGGGGGCTATCTTGACTCTCAGCCCCCCCAAAATTTTGGAAATTAGATTAAACAAAATTGAATTCTTATCCATTCTGAAGTGTGCTGAACTGTGCTGTATCAGGCTTTTCTCAAAATTTCCATATTCGATTATTTTCCGACAAAAAACTAAGAGGGGGCTAAGTTGATGCCAAATTTTAGGGGCCACAACACGTGGAGGATTGTAAGCGTTTCGTAAAAACCAAACTAAAGAAAAACTGCTTCAGATATCGAGATGAACCTATTAAATTTATATAAACGAAGGATTATACAACCAGCCTACAAAAGCGTTTTCTTGATATAATAAATATAGCTAATGACCCGCTGCGTTGCCAGCGTGAAAATA